GTCATTGCAGACATTTTTTTACAGTACCCCAGAGTTCAGATTTGCTCAAGCTGGAGTTGGTCTTTAGTGCAACGCACATTAACTTGCAAAAACTGCACAGGGTCAGACGGGGCCACAGTCCAGCCCCATGTTTTACCCCAGAAAGAATATAATGTCGCTTCGTGGTTCCTGCATGGTGACACATCAAGAGTTTTGTATAACGGCCGGGCCATGAAAATCACCTGAACATAATTGATGCCTTCATCAGCTACAAACAAATGTCCCCAGGTCACCAACACACCCATAGCAACAGTTGCCGGGTGAGGCAGTATACACAGGGATTAACTCTTCCTGCACACACCTCGGCCTGTTTACACAACCGTCCTGTTACCTCAGGTTCCTTTATAGTGGTATGACGGATCTGTAACCGTGGCATCAGAAGGAGGTCAGAGGTCACCTGTATCAGAAAGGGGTCTGAGGTCACCTTTATCCAAGGAGGGTCTCAGGTCACCTGTATCAGAGGAGGGCCAGAGGTCACCTGTATCGGAGGAGGATTAGAGGTCACCTGTATCCGAGTAGGGTCTGAGGTCACCTGTACCTGATGAGGGTCTGAGGTCACCTGCCTGTATCAGAGGAGGGTCTGAGGTCACCTGTATCAGAGGTCACCTGTATCAGAAGAGGGCCAGAGGCCACCTGTATCGGAGGAGGGTTAGCGGTCACCTGTATCCGAGGAGGGTCTGAGGTCACCTGTATCAGAGGTCACCTGTATCAGAGGAGGGTTAGAGGTCACCTGTGTCAGGGGGTTAACTGTATCAGAAGAAGAACGGGGGTCACCAGTATCAGAAGGGGGTCAGAGGTCACTTGTAGCAGAAGGGGGTCAGAGATCACCTGTATCAGAAGAGGATCAGGGGTCACCTTTATCAGAAGGGGGTCAGAGATCACCTGTATCTGAAGGGTGTCAGAGGTCTTCCATCATGTAAGGGGCCATTTACACTTATGTATTGTAGCAATGCAGTCCTGATGAATACTGATTTGTTGAACTTTTCCCGCACCTTGAAAAAGCCCTTCCTTTAACTACCTGCTAATGTCCACCTAAAGTTGATGAGGGTGTGGTGCGTTACCATTGGGCTAGGCCGCCCTCTACAATTGTTGAATGAAAGGCTCAGGGGCCCGATCACAATTGTTGAATGAAAGGCTCAGGGGCTTCGCGGGCCAGTGACCGCGAAGGCACATAGAAGACAATTGTTCACCCCACCAAATTGCCTTCAGGTATGTTACAGCGCAGTGCGAAGAAATGCAGACACGCCGCATTTCTCTGCACCTCACCCCATTCCAGCACCGGTCACCGCGCCACAGCTGAGCTGCGATAAATACAAATGGATGGAATGTCAGTTTGACATTACAATTAAGTTTTAACCTGAAAAATAAAAAAAGGTAACAGTGTGAGGCACAAAGAAGAGCAGCAGTGACCGGTCTTTATTACAGGAGGGGGCGGAGACAAGACCATTCACCCTGCACAAGGAGAGAGCAGCAGTGACCGGTCTTTATTACAGGAGGGGGCGGAGACAAGACCAGTCAGTCTGCACAAGGAGAGAAGCAGCAGTGACCGGTCTTTATTACAGGAGGGGGCGGAGGTAAGACCAGTCACCCTGCACAAGGAGAGAGCAGCAGTGACCGGTCTTTATTACAGGAGGGGGCGGAGGTAAGACCAGTCACCCTGCACAAGTTGAAGGGCCGGAGTTGCCCACCCCTGGCCAATGATCTTCGAGGTTCTCGTATTTTGCTCTGTCGCAGGTGGGAAACATCACATTAATCCCAGTGAGGGTGTACGTGGGACCAGCGTGTGGTTTATATCGGGTTGGAGGGGGGGAAGATCTTCTGATCTGCAGTGGAGGGCGGAGCCTGCAGACTGTCACTCATCCCCCTCCTGGTGTCTCTCACATACGAGCAGTAACAATGTCCTCCTGAGGTGTCTGTGTGGAGAATGTTGGTCGCCCTTCCTGTCCCATTGTGAGGGACCGCTCCCCGATCCTCAAACATCTCGCAGCGCCAGTCATTGCTCTTTACATCGCTAAAATGTGGTCAGACCTGATCTGCAGCCCGCGGGAGACACCATGACACCCCGCCGCTGTCTGCATGGAGGTTGTTTGCTCGCCCTTTATTGGGGTGAAAGGGTGGCCGAGAATTAGTGGCCTTGGGACCAGGAGCATCCCCTGCAAAAGAAGCGAGGCGTGTGCCCGGGGTACCTTGTGCCAGTGATGCCCCCCTGCAGCTCACCCAGCCTGGTCCTAACTGGGCCCCCCCTCTGCCCTGGGCCCCATACACCCCTGCAGCTCACCCCTCTTGGTCCTGACTTGGCCCCCCCCTCTGC